ATCTCTTTTTCTTGTGCCACACTAACACCCACAAGTGAATATCTATAGATTTTCACACGCCCGCCCATACCTTAATATATGTGCTAGCTTCTTATATGTCTTCTGTAAGTTGGTCATGATCACATCTGAGGCTGATATAATGACTTTTCCATTTGTAGAATCCACGCCGGAGTTGTTAGCATAACTGATCCGCTCTCCCCCTCCCGGCACAGTCTATTGTCGCTTCATTAGCCCTCCACCATCTTGCATTTGTTTTCATTTTAATCTCTCATTCATTATCCCCAAACGCTATTCTTCATCCAACTGCATTTTATCTCCACGGCTCCCTCGTGATCCCGCATAGCGTGAGAATAAGTACTGGTATTTTGTGCTTTTAAAAAAAATCTGCAGGACAAAACTAGTTCGCTATTGCCGCTATAAAAAAAAAAACCTTTCCCACTGTAATAGTCTGGAAAAGTGTCGCATTATGTACCCGGGGAAAACACAATTGATGATGCAAGCTGCCTGTTGGTGCGTTGCTAGTTGAAAAGAAAATCCAAGCAGGTTTTACATCCACAAACTCTGACTTGATGTGTCGAGAAATCAATGCAAAACTAGTCCGTAGGCTGTTATGCGACAAGAGGAGTAGTACAAGCGATCTGTGATTTTAAGATTTGACTGATTACTTTTAAAGCTTGTTTAAGTCTGGCACCAAGCTACATTTATGAACTTTGAACCCGCTACGAGCCCTTCTCCCACGGCCTTAGATCCTGGGGCAGGTCCCTGTTCCGAGGTCGAGGCTCCGGACTAAGGGTAACCGAGCTCTGTCCGTGCTCCTCGACTTTGGAACCACCTGAGATAAGGCTGGCACCATCAGAATCCCACTTTTATCAAACATACAGTACTATAGTATTTAGTACAAACTTATAATACTAAATAATATTCAGATTGGCTTGAAAAAAAAACAAATAAATGGCAACTGTTTCCTATCAAAAGAAAAAAAAAAGTGTTGATGCCATTTTTTTGTGCTTTACTTAAATAACAATGTTTTGTTTTTTATTTATTGTAAAACATTTTAGTCCCGCTCTATTCCTGGAAACACCTGGAAACTGTTTCTAAAAGGCTGAGAGTGTTACACGATATAACACTGACTGAAATGTGATATATCATTAAAACTATTTCCAATATATCACCTCAGTCTCGAATTTCACACTGAGGTTGTGTAGAACAAGAAATATAAACAATATAAAAGTAAATGTTGCTCACACTTAGAGAGCAGCAAAATCATGTACAATAGTTCTGGCATGCGCTTCCTGTATCCCATCTCTGTGTGGAGCGAGCGGACATGGAAATGAAAGGAACATAGGAGGATTTCCCCAAATTTTAGCAAAAAGAACCTCCGTCTCCACTTTTTGAAAAAAACTCTCTGGTCTTATTTGACGAGCACATATCACCATGATGATTGACAATTAGGCGGACCAATAGTCTTGATTAGGGCTAGGTGATAAAACGATAACGATATATATTGCGATAGACACGTGTTCTATATCAATAGAAAACGGGGTCGATAGAACGTTCGATAGTTTCACTTCCCTCCGTTAGAAAAAACAAGGAGAAAACACAAGAAGTAAAGCCGAGTCAGGAGCGCGCGACATTCTGGGGGATGTAGGCAAAGGTCGAGAAGCCTTTGCCTACATCCATCACAGCAGACCACAAACGCAAAACATTCTGGGAAATGCAAAAACAACAACTGCACCATGCTTAGCGTCTAAGCGTCTGAAGAACGTGTTTCAGTGCCGTGTCAATAGTTATGCACGTCCGTGCGAAGAATAGCATGTGCGGCGCGGGAGAGGCAGTGGGTACAGAGACTCGATGCATTCGGAAAAAGCAAGAGATGAACTTTTTCCGGAGCCATCACAGGGACATAAAACACTCAAAAACAGCCAAAACAGGAGCTAAACCAGGACTAAAGTGGGGGAGACTGCTTGTGAACCTTTGCCTCCAGCCTCGTTCCTCCGTGACTGTAAACAAGGTTGCTAACATGTGTTAGCCGACACAACAAATGTATTTTTTTTTTTAAATAAATAAAAAAACAATCAATATATATTGTTATCGACCGATATGAATTACTTATATTGTGATATAGTTTTCAGCCATATTGCCCAGCCCTAGTCTTGATGATCCACCTGGAAGTAGAAAATCCTCCGGTATTCTGTTATTTATGTACTTACTTACTTTCAGGACACTCCTTCCTACTTGCATATTGCAGTTGTTACTTTAACCTGAGTCGTGGTCATAAGTGTTCTCCTTCAGCCCTAATCAAACCATTGTTGTCCCTTGTCTCCCGCTGATCAAACTCTCCAGGCCGGTTTATAAGTGACACCGTGTCTGCGCCATCAGGAACCTCACAAGGGGCCCGCCGTCCAATCAGCTGTCTGGAAAACGTCTGACGCGTGATTGCCCGATGAGTGGCTGCTCGGCATAAGTACTGCTCCTGGAGAAATGGAGGACGTCTGATAACCACACGGCTGTCAGACCATAGAAGAAGTGGTGGTGTTTACCCGGCGACAGCGTGACATCTGTCAGCTGATTGGACAGGAGGGGACTGTATTGGCTGACAGCTGCGCTCATATATGGCCGATAAAGATGTCACCGTTTGGGTTGTTTATCAATCAGGCGGCTCCGGAAAGCTTTTGCTACAGATGTACGCTACGTTTGTGGACTTTGTGGACTATTAGAGGGAAGGGTTTCGGTCATGATTGTATAGCCTACGTGTCAATACGCTTTCTCACCTCATACATGCCACTTTTTAAAATCAATATTATTTATATTAAAGACTGACAAAAATAAGAATTGTAAATATACGCATACACCCCTGACAAGTATTTGTCTGTCTGTCTGTCTATCTGTCTATCTGTCTATCTATCTCTCTCTCTATCTATCTATCTATCTATCTATCTATCTATCTATCTATCTATCTATCTCTCTGTCTCTGTCTATCTATCTCTCTATCTCTCTTTCTCTATCTATCTCTCTATCTGTCTATCTCTCTCTATCTATCTCTCTATCTCTGTCTAGCTATGTATCTATCACTATCTCACTATCAATCTATCTATCTCTGTCTATCTGTCTATCTCTGTCTATCTATCTCTCTATCTTTATCTATCTCTCTATCTCTGTCTATCTATCTCTCTATCTCGATCATTCTATCTCTGTCTATCTATCATTCTATCTCTGTCTATCTATCTCTCTATCTCTATCTGTCTACTGTATCTCTATCTATATATCTATCTGTAACACTATATGAAACCCTGGATAATATTGAACTGAAACCAAAATAAAACTTTAAAGATAGACCACAGAACTACTCCAGATGTTGAAATATTGCACTGGGGCATTTCATTTTTATTTGTCTGCTTTTGTTTTGAATCTGATTGCAAATGCAGATTGTTTGGCAAAAAGACACATTGTGACATCATTTTTTTCGGGGGAGCCATTTGAGTCACATTATGGTGCTTCAGGCTGAGAGCAGATTGCCCGTTGCTGCGCTAACCCTTCCTGATATACTTTTCCGTGTGAAAAAGCTGCTCTGTGGTTGTGCGAGTGGCCTAACTAGCATGCTGTGAAGATGAGATGAATTGTCTTCTTTCTCTTTTCAGTCAGAAACGATACACCACATTTAAATTACCTTTTTTACCTCTCTATAAATAAATGCTCTTCATTGCAAAGCAGCGCCTGCAGGACACAGTGTATAAAAGCACAAACGTCCTCTTTATGTCATGTTGCAGACGTGTGCCGCTGACATTTCCAACTCCATGTAAGCTGGTTGTCAATCAAGCCCTGTACTGGCTAAATGGAACACTTATATAAGACTTACCTTAAAGACTTGATCCTCCCTCTCTCTTTCTATCTCCTCTTGCATCAGTTCTTACCAGTGCGACTCCCCAGAGATCAGCTTTGTACATGGAGCAGTTGTTTTGATGCTGAAACACATTTTGTTGCCATTGTTGATATGGACTCTGACGTATTTCCACAGAGGTATTAGCGGCTGACATCGCGCTGCTGAAATCCTTCTGTGTTTCACCAAAGCTGGGTCACTGTGTTATTCCCAATCCCCTGGGACTCAGCAGCACAAAGAGCATTTTGACTGTGTGCAAACAGGCCACTCACAAAGCCATCATGTGGATTTGAGATTTTTTATCAAATACTTGTTTGCATTTAACCCGCATGTAGGCTTTCTCTCTGGCGGCCCTTTGTTTGTTACAAAAACCATTTAAAACAGCAGTTAAGATCTCCAAACAGCACATCTCCAGTGTAACTTGAAGGAGCCATTTCAGTGTAAATGTTATTGAATAAATAAAAGAAGCTTTGTGTGAAAGCAGCTTGTCTTTCCAGCTGAGCCATATCCTTTCACTAAAGACCATTATCTCCTTCATTTTGCCCAAACGCCCGTTTAATGTATCTGCGTGTGCAATGCCATGCATGATAAATCAGTTTGCTCTAATGTAGCGGGGCTCTCTTCATGTTGCACATGTGCATCTACTCCTTCATCTGTTGTCATCACTTTGATGAATAGTTTTATTTTCAGCCTAATGATAGGGACAGGTCTTTAGATCTAATAATAGAATTAACAAGAACTGATTCCATATGCAAGTACACTGCAAATGTAGACGTTTTTTTCTGCTCATGGTTTATGGGTCAGTGAAAGCATTATACATGATCCTGAAAAACTGACCGGTCTATTGTCCCAATCTGTGCGAGGCAGCAGCAGAGGGCAAACTGTTCACAATAACTCAATAACCCTCAAACTAAGATGACGGCCTGTTTCTGTCATCACCTCTGCCCTGGAGGTAAAGTGATCATCGAAGTGTGTGTTTATCTGAGAGGTTTACAACCAAAATGTTCAAAGATCTACGAAAGGAAAAAAAACAAAAAGGTGTTGCCAAATCATTACAAAACATCCTAAGGTCTTCTTTCTACCCGACCAACACCCTCATGTCCTGGTGTTTGTGTTTCCACAGTGCCTCCGGTGTTGTCCGTTTTCCAGCAGTCGTTCAACGCCACGGCCGACTACCAGGAGTCAGTCACGTTCACCTGCATCACGTCTGGATCCCCTGACCCTCTGGTGACGTGGCACAGGTAAACAACAACACATCAGCAAACATCGTGTTGAGAATAACTTATATATGAATGCAGTAGTTTAGTAAAGTCAGCGTTATAGTTATCGTTTTAGTAATAGCAGCAGTAATGCTGGGAATAGTCATGTTTGTCCAAGGCAAGATTCATTGATTTGATTTGACCTTGTTATATAATAATCCATATAGTATATAATGAATAAACATAGATAGTAAATGAACCTTTGTATTCAATAGTGATTCAATCACAGTCACACAATACTGGCTCCCGTTGAAAACAATCAGATGCTCTGTTCAGAAATATCTTCACTGGAGAATATTTCATATGAGATAAAATCACTTTTCAATATTAGTCTGTGTCGTTCTCTTCCTGCCTGGCCTGAGTGAAATCAGTTGAACAAATGAACTGGCAGAAGGCAATACTGTGACAGTCTGAATAGTACATTTGCAAAAACAAATTCCTTGCATTTTGGGGATTGTATTTAATATTGATATATTCAAAGCTGACCAACTGATGAACCTTGGCAATATCGAAAAACAGCCATAATGGGTTGTTTTTATGCTTGAAAACTGAGGTATTTTGTCTTCTCCTGGAGTAGTTAGAAGTAGCACTTTTAGCTCTATAGACTCTTGAATATTCTGACATTGCGTTCCAAGCCTTAGATAAGAATATTCAGGATGAGACGAGAGCGCGGCACTTAAACTGTACGTATTGACCACATGTTTGTTGCCTCTTCCCAATACAAAGTGCGTTGCGTGTGCCTGATCGATGCCCGTCCTGAGGCGAACTGCAGGTTAAGCTGATTTTAATGCACTGGGTGAAAATCAAAGGACGCCTCAGAGTAAGCGGAGTAAGCGGAAGGGACTTTTAAAGAGCGGTTTTGAATGGAGGCCTGCGTAACGTCTCGCATTTAAACACAGCGCTGAAGCGAAGGTAATGACAAGGCTTTACCACCCACTCTTACTTTTTATACACCATTTGATGCAACATTTCACTTCAAACTTGTCGGTGTTAAATGTGGTGAAAAGCCAGACAATTAATTTAGATTCAAGCATACTTTCCGAGGCTATTAATCTTTGCATAGAATAGATCCATAATGGTAGTTCTTCCCGGGCTTTTTCAGGTTGTTTTCTGCTAATATCAAGCAACAGATGCAGCTGAAGTGGAAACACAGACTGAAGAAAGAGTGGACTAAACATGTACTGCTGTCGCCCATATTGTGTTGAAAGAACCGCCCTCTCCACTTTTTGAACAAAACTCTCTGGTCTTATTTGACATGTACGTATCACCAGAGTTATTGACATTTGGGAGGACTATGGAGAAAATACATTTTGGAGGACTATGGCTTACGGACTATCGCAAATGGACAAACGCAAGACAAAATATACACGTAATTTGGCCTTGTGCAAGTTACAAGGACCACGTTATTTGAGCTAACTGACGCCTGGGTTTGGCTGATGACTCTGATGACGCAAATTTCAATATATATGTGGTATCTCTGTTTGTCGCTCGGTCTGAATTTACCCTTTGTGAATACACTTCCAGGTTGCTCTGGTGTGCAAAGATCCCATGTTAGAGTCTAATTTTTGACAGGACCAATAGTCTTGATGAGCCACCCGGAAGAAGAAAATCCTTCTATGTACCTTTAACTGAAACCTCACATTTTCACATGAATCAACGCAACCCACACTGATGAACAATTACATGGTTTGAAAAGGGGTTGGATGAATCACACACTTATGCCAATGCCCTCTGAAAACAATATCACACGTGTAATTCAGGAAATTGCATAGTAATAAACCATTTTACTGTACAGTCAGTGCATACAGAAATACAAGCCAATACACTACCACCAATTAGTGTATGAAAGACTGACAACAACACACACACACACACACACACACACACACACACGCTCTAACAAAGAACCAAAGACTCTCTGACCATACACCGCTTTTCCATTGCACTACTGTTGACCTAAAGCTAAAGAAGCTGGGGCAGTATGTAGGTAGCAACGGCCTTGTAGCCAAAGAGCCAATCAGGAGCTATTATCTAGCTTAAAGCCAAATCGGGAACAATAGGCACCTGATTGGTTAGGGGTCATAACTGGATTTGCAAAGGATATCATGAGAAGCTTACTTTTCAGTGTTTTCATGAAAGTCATGTGAGCCAAATCCTATTAGGTTTTATAGAGCTCGGGGGCTAGCATGGTCCATCTATAGACTGTTGGAGTGGAACCGATGCAACTGTAGCAAGTGTGCACACATTCGCACAAGCATGTCTGACCCAGAAATTGCGCTGTTATTACTCCATGCAATGTTGTTAATGCATTAGCCTTCAAAGCGGAACCTGCCTGATACAAACGTGATGACAATTTATGGACACCTGCAGAGTAACGCAAAGTACAGGACTCGACACACACACACACACAGAGCAGGCTTGTTTACTCTATGGGGAGCGATATGAAAATAGCAAATGTAGTTTTAATGATGTAGCAGCGTGGATAAGTACACAGGGAGCGTTTGTACACAGCCAGACTTCCAATCACGCGACTGTCAGGCGTTTTTAATTATTCCAAACTTTACATCCGCCATATGGCCTGTGACATTGAGAGATACTCTGGCACAGATTGACGTCTTTGGTTGTACTGATTATCACATTTAGAGTTGCCAGAACGTGAGTTGTTTTTCGCAGTGCGTAACGTCAAAGTCGCTAATCAAAGCCGGTGTCAAATGAGTTTTGCAAGTGCAGAGTTGATGGCAAAGAATCTGATTAATTTAACAGCGTTTCTTGATTTATAGCGAGGGATCTGCACAAAACGTCCAAATCAAACAGTGCAGGAAGTATACAAGGCATCCCAATTACCACCAAACAGGATGTACCCCTGCCACAAAGCCCATGTTTGCTGTTCCTATAACCTGATTTCACCTCAGACTGTTTCTCAGAGGAAAATGTTTTAGTGCTACGAAAATACTGCAGCTCCGGAGTGGTTCATAAATGTTAGCGCGGCTCTCGGTTATGCATGGACGCTTGTTTAGATTAAAACTTCAGCGCTTGACATTTATACGGTGGCGCGTTTATTCTCAAAGAACACAGATGTTTGTAGCTGGAATTGTTTAAGTTAGAAGTTAACTTTGTGATCTCTCTGTAGATTTAAACAATTTTAATCTCCAGCTTTTGTGCCTTGACAATTTCAAACCATTGCCTACTGTTTTGGGGCACTGGATTTGTGTTATTGGGCAAGTCCTTCTCCCTGCAATGTTGCCCAGTAAGTAGTTTGCTGATGTCGCTGGTAGATCGTGTGTGGCTTAACCCTTTAACATTCACCCCTTGAAGACAGCAACGCCATTTTTTCTTATTTTGGATTTTCTATGATGTAGGAGCATTGTATTTTACCTTTACCAAATGGTTAAAATTTAGTTTGACGGTAAAAGAGCCTAAAACCAGGGGAGATGCCCAAAAGAGATTAAAGCTTAAAGTATAAATATATTGACTCAAAAGGTGATCTACCAAATGTTTGAGGAAATCATGAAAGGGTTAAACAGTAGATGAAGTGGGAGCCCGGTCTAGAACATTGTCAAACATTGTCAAAGAGTAGGCATCACAACTACCCGTTCTGAAGATAAAAAAAAACTATTTGGTGCTGGTCCTGAAACAGACTCGGTTGTGGACATGGGTGAGGCCTGGGAATACCTCAGAATTCCCTTGGATTAGCTGGGGAAAGAAGAGATGGAAGACAAGTGGAAGAAAATGAATGGATGGATTACCTTTAGCCTGAACAATTCTCTATCTGCTGTTCTAAAGCTATTTGTTTTCCACTTTCTTTACTTTGATATTGTTGTTATATATTGCTTGCCAACTTGAATTTCCGCCTTTGGAAAAATCCATTTCCACTGCTTTGTTGCTAAAGCTCTTTGACAAAATGTAAAGAGAGAAACCTCAGCGCTGCCGTGTCCGCTAACTGTCAAACCCTTCCAGTCTTGTCTTCATCTTTTCTTTCTGCTTGTCGTCTGTAGCTTTTTGAATTAAAGCACAACTCACCCATTGGATTATGTACAAGCCGGGACGTGAACACCCATCTCAGCTCCATTGTTGCATTTCCTGTCAAAGTGAGTGTTTTCCGCGGCTGCTCGCTCGCTCCGTGGCTCGCTAATGGACTGCATGTCACAAAACGCCATCGACTGTCCCTCCCCAAGATGGCCGCCCATCATTTCCTGTTGTTATTGTCCCGAGGGATTCTCTTTCTTGCGATTTTCGATTATCTTCCTCGAGGCTGTTTGAAGGTAGCCCAGGCTTTGTGTGTGGGTATATACAGTCTAATACACTTTAAAATAGCCTTTTCACATTGAAGAAAAATGTGCATTATTTGACTCGGCTCGGAATTGAATCACATAATAGCGTTCGGTGAATTTATAGCCGGCTATCTGAAGAGTGCGGCATTACCATAAGTATGGGGAAAAAATGGGCAAACAATATCAGCGCACACATTTTGGAGTTCATTTTAAAGATGCGTGGTTGAATATGAATCCGAATGGAAAAGATAATGGTCATCTTTGCAATAGTAACATTTCAAACTCATTTAATTATCTATTTACCAATTTCAATACCTAAAGCTGTGTTTTTACTCAGTTCTTTGGGGTTAAAAATTATACATAACTATATTCTTTACTTTTTAGTTATTTTCTGTTTTCTCATTTTTTGTGAGGAAATTAGTCAAAAAAAAAAATCCTTTTATCCTTTAAAATGTATTAGTGTAGCTCATTTCTTATCCAAGTGCTTCACAAATCCATTTAAAATGTCACTCAAACTTTGAACACTAAAACGCAAGCATTTTCGTATCTTACATAAGTTCTTGTTCTCTATTGTGAGAGTAAAACACCTGCCTTTTGCACATATTGTATTGAAATAAAGATTATATTGTGCCAAACATAATCGAAGTGACACACAGCCCGTCAACGTTGCAGCATTTCATTTTTATTTTACAAGAGTATACTTTTAAAGGTCCCGAGTTCCGCCTGTCATCCCGGTCTCCAGCACAGTAGCAATTTCTCCGAGACAATAAGACGGCAGAATGAGGGACAGCCCGGAACTAAGCAAGCCGGTGAAGCCAAGGTCACCCTGCCTCACAGCACCACGCGACTTTGGCTCCTTTCACTGACTGTCTGCTTGTGTACTTCAAAACGTGTGTACAAATGCGGCGGTCACATACTGTATGTGCATGAATCTCAATAAAAGTATTAAGTTCTTCTTTATCAGACAATTGTAGGATTACTAACGTCTGCTTTAGAAGAGAAAAATCATAAGAATACAAACAAGAAGACAAGAGGAACCTTCTTAAACTACTAAACGAGTACTGTCATGTTGGTTGTTTAAGTCATGTATTCTGTTATCTAACCTTAATCGCAAGAGCACAGTCGTCTCTAAGGATTTTACAAAGTACTTACAAATAATAGTAGCGTAAATACAATAACAAAAATATAAGAACCATTGGTCCAAAGGGAGCGGGATTAGCAATGGCCAAAAATGTTAATTAATGTCCTTAGACCCTCATAAAACCCGGTGGGAAAACAGTTAGAAACCTTGGTAGTCACTCTTGGACCAATAATATTCTGAAAACACTTGAACCACATTGATTCATCTTTGCTGCTAAACTGTAATTCCTCACTTTTGGCCAAAACATTATTTCCCCCAAAAAAGTCAATGGCTATTTGAATAATTTTCCGTTTTTTTCCACATTTTTTGACCACTTTTACATTATTTATTGCCTTTTCCCAATTTTGCAAAATAGCTCAAGGTTAGCTTCGGCAATTCAGACTGAGCCGGCAGGGAAAGCATCAGCTCTTTTTTTGCTAATAATATGTTTTTAAAGGCAGATGATAGGAGGTCATTTGAATTTCAGTGTTTCAGATTAGTGGGTGCACTCAGGGGCAAGGGAGCAGCTCTCATAACAAGGACAGCTTACCATAATGTGCTATTGTGATGTTTGACACAAGGGGGCGTGCTCTCTAGGCCTCATTAGCATATACCCTTCAGGTTTACTACACAAATCCTGCACTTAAGTTACAGCCAGCAACCGATCACATTTGTAGGGGAATATGAATCTGTGCCTGTGTGACATATTAAAATGCGGTTTGGGTTTTTAAAAGGCCGAGAACTGAGACAAACTTCTCAAATCCACAAGGGAAATTAGTTGGACCGTATAGCTTAAACAGAACAAATGGAGGGGCTGTGCTATTGAATGATAATTTATGCATGCAAAGTAAAATTAGGAGGCTTCACTGTGCACTTGTTAAAGAAAAGGCATTATCTAGTTAGTATGCTGATAACAAATGTGCATATTTTAGTCTAGAAGTTGTGGGAATAAACTTATTTGTAATGGGGAAAAAAATGGTGGTTATGAACAAAGGACAAGATTGTTTTTTAAAGGAGGAAAAGATACAAAACCATTATACCACCAAAGCATTTTGTTGTGTACAGAGACAGTCAACAAATTGGTCTGCAAAAACACACATCGGAGAAAACTAGAGAAGTACTCTTGCCTCCTTAAGTCTGAATCTTGAGTCTCTTCTTAGACTGATTGTGTTTTTTTTTTTCGTTTTTTCTTGTTGAGAAATGTAAAATGGACTTGAACATGAATTTCAATCTGACAGCACAGATTGCAGCTGCGCTCTTGTCCCGCTGTGAGAAAAGCCTCAAGTCTGTGCGAATCTACATCCTCCATCCTTATCGTCCCAGTTTCAGGGACTTTGAACATGTATTTAGTTACACAATACTGAATACTTCCGATAAAATACTTTGTAACGTATAATTCTGTGACATCATCTCGTCTGAGTCGTCTATTCTGAATACTTGGGATCATTACTTAGTGTACAGACATGGTTTTGTATTTAGGAACTTAACTTGCATGATCAGATACATTCTTAACTCATTCACTGCCAGCCGTATATAAAGCAGCATCCCTCATACTGCCAGAGATTTTGGATATTTTTTGTGTTTTTCCAAACCTCATATGAATGTGAGCACTTGGTTGACACAAGTATAAAACATACCAAATGAAAGCTCTGTCTCTTGCCTTTCATTTAAAAAACGAAATAAGTTTCTAACCCCTTTTCAGTAATTGAGAGTACAACATAGGTAACTTTCACACAAAATGCTGTTTCCTGACCAATATATGGAGAAACACACATTTTCAAGCGGAAAAGTGTTTTTTTTTTCTTTACTGATATTTTACAATGTATGACAGTTTCTTATTATGACACAAAGCAGAAACAATACTTAGAACTGTATTTTTAATGTATAATTATTTTTAAACAAATTAAACGTGTACACACAATACACTCAAAAGATTGTCTTATGTACACATAAAATAATCAACTTGTATACAATAAAAAGCGAAATGGAAAGAAAAAAACGAAAAAAGAGCAATTGACGTCTATAGACTTTTGGATATAAATGAATGAAAAAGAAAAAGCACATTCTGAATACAAACATAAGGGTATTATTTCAAAGTTTCATTCTTTCCCCCCCTTCACAGTAAAATTGTGGGGTCTGGTATGTTCTTGGTGCACACTGGGCCAGTCTCGTACAGTTACTCCAATGTGGTTTTACTGCAAATGTCAAATAATATGGAAAATAAAAATAACAATGCTTCCAAAACAAACTTTCTTGGTTGTGATGAACGTTATACCAGTTCCATTTCACTGTAAATCTGTACATACACAAACAATTGAATTTATTCTCAAAGCCATACACCTACAAATGCTTTCCATTGGTCCTTATATTAACCGGAAGATTGAACTTTTCCAACGATAACACATTTGACAGAACGGAGATGACCAATTCTATGGTGACACTATCGATCGAGCACTGGAAAGAACATTGAAGAAAGGAAATGTGAAGCTAACACCTCGTACTTGGAGTTTTAGAGCATTTAGAGCTCTTTACATTCCCATCTATTGGAACCACTCTGAGGATGGAGAGGTGCTGACATCCAATCATATAAGTTGTACTACTGAAGTTGTGAAGGAGAATGGGTTGTGATGAGTTCGCTTCCACTTCATAGTTTGACCTATTTAGCCATTGAAAAAGAGAAATAGCATTGCTCTTCACCAAAGTACGCTGCAAAAAAGTGATGAAAAATAAGTCAAAAATTACTTACATTTGCAAAACATGTATCTTAATTTGAATATTATGGGATAAGCAAAGTCTTGTTTTAAAAATATACAAGAAATATCTCCCTTGGAATGAGAGAATAAAGCAACAGTTCTTGAAAAAAGGCGAAATGGCTTTTTCCCATTGGCAAATCTTGTTTTTAAGACAGTAAGAATACACCCAGATTAAGATTATTAAAAAACACTTGATTCAAGCAATTATTACAGCATATTTTATCATTTTTCACAGTGTAACTATTGACCAAATGAAACCAATTGACACACATCCATTCCATATTTTATCCTTTCCACCAAACAACTCATTTCTCTCCGGCGTTCAGTGATTAGCAACATTAGCGTTGTGTTAGCGAATCACCGAGTGCTTCCTGACTTTGAAAACAAATTTAGTTTTTACTGAATGGCAGATTTTAACTTCAATTCTACCGCACAAGGACTCAAAAGCACACTACACATGTACGAATAATCTGTTGAACTCCATTTCAACAAAGAAAACATTTCAAACTCTCTCGCAGCAGCATAAGCTATCCTCGCCGCCTTCCCCGAGCTTGTATGTATGCGTTCTGAGCGACGTGTTGTGCACTTAAGGGATCAAAAGACATCTTTAAGTGCTCAGATTACAGGCGTGAGACGTTGTGTGACTAGTCAACATGTTTTTCTTTGTTTTGCAGAAAAGGTCAGCAGCTGGAACCCTCAGAGCAGTACATTCTGAGTCGACTGGAAGGCGGCCGGAGCATGCTAACCATCAGGAATATTCGACAGATGGACGGAGGGACCTACTCCTGCCGGGCCACCAACAAAGCAGGGGTCCAGGAGAGGGAGATGTTTCTCAAAGTGTTTGGTAAGACTACTACACAAAACATTACGCATATCTGAAATGTATTTGTCTTATTGTGATGGCTTTTATTCTATTGCTACCAAAAGTGCCATGTTTATTGTTAGCAAGGTTGTAGGGGATATGCTAAAGCTAACAGAGGCAGTCTTTAGCGTATTAGAAAACTTGTATGGAAATTACTCAGTGGCACTTCACATTTGGAAAAGCTGATCTACAGATGGGGTCGAGGCCAAAAAAACATGCACGAACCAGGGATGTACCAAAACTGTTTAATGGGCAAGAACTATTTCAGATGGATTGTATCATAGTTCCATTCAATGTGGTTTCAAAGTTTCAAAGATGATAATGGTACTATTTTTAGAAGATATGTCATAGCGTGACGAGGAGCATTCGTGGAACGTTGTGATGTATATTTGAATAAACATTTGAAAGTGTCCTGAGACCCTGTTCTGGCAAAAGCGCTAACTACTATACCTACTATTATAAGATAAGATAAGATAAACCTTTATTTGTCTCACAGTGGAGAAATTTCAGTGTCATCGTTGCACATTACAGCAGAGAAAGGAAATAAGAGCACTCAGATTGCACACATCAAAGTCTATTATTTAAGATAATAGACAATACATTTAAGATAAAATAAAATAAAATAAGATAAACTCTGGGCTATAATTGCAATTGGTTCGGAGTATTCACAGATGTCTATATTATACATTAGCAGCGGAGAATATGAGAATATGAGCAGAATAAACATCCGAAATAATGTCAACAGGTAACGTGACTTGAATGGGAGAATTATCAGATGGATATGAATAATACAGTAAGATATCAACAGGTAAAGTGACTGGTGAAAGGCAGAAATATCAGATATGTAATAATGCAGCAGTACTGATAACAGGTAAAGTTACTAGTGAATTATTATTGGTTTACACAACGGGCCATGAGTTTTAGTATAATTCACACTGGTTTAACCGCGCAGATCTCTCTAGGATCTCTTAAAAGTCAAATTTACATAATATTTTACGCATACGGTTGAAGCCCTTTGTAAATACTGTACAATATTCTGCTCAGAACACTTTCTGGCTACATACGCAAAGTCTGGACAGTGTAGCCTTGGAAATCTTTCTCCATGTAGCCCTCCCTTGATGTTCCTCTTACTGGAAAACAGTTTAGTGGAGAGTGTTCAAAAGCAATTTAGCATTAACATATCTATCGAGATTGTCAGCGGCTAAGAAACAAGGTGATTCTATTATACTCTTTGAATAATATATCTGAATGCAGTAACTATTCTGAGCACCACTTTTAGCACTAGTGGTGAGCATACTTTATTATTGACACAATTGATATGTACAATATATTAACCGGGGTCACACAACACTTTGATGTCATTTCTATTCACTCTATGCACAGTGATGTTATAGCAATTATCCATGAAACCTGTAGATCACGTTGATATCTCAGTTTGCCCTTGGACGATTATATTTCTTTTACTCGTACTCGATTTTGCATCCACATTTTTCATTCACATTAGCGTCACGACACCAGACAGCTGTGCAGTCGGCAGCGAGAAGGCAAGCTAGCAGTAAACGGACATGATGGCGGCTGTATGGCAGTTTTTTTTCTTAGTAAACAAGCGTGACAAAAGTAAAGCGGACTGTACATTGTGTTAAGGCAAAACTGTCACGAGGTGGGACCAAAACAAAACACGTATAACACCAGCATCAAACATCTGAAACCTCACCACCGCGAAGGGTACAACACCTTTCGCTAGCACCGGAGATATTTGTATGATTGGGATATGACAGCGGCTCTTATTGTTGACGGTTAAAACAATTGCTAAAATGTTTTATTGTTAAAGCATTTTCTTATTGGTGAAATGAGGAATACAAATCTTTAAATTTCCAATATCCCCTTAATTTGTCAAAAGAAAAGAAAAAGATAAATAAAAATGGGTTTGCTTACTAACTAGCATAATAAAGAAGCAAGTAGAAAATCTCTAACTTTAGCATAATAAAGAAGCAAGTACTATATATAAATAAAGTTGTATACCAGGGTCTTTTGTAGCTTTCTATTGGTTTGGTCCATCCATAAGCCACTTGTACGCTACATAAATACCAAAAAAAGTCAATATGCTAACATGCGGTCAGCGGCGGATCATTAGCGGGCATTAACCGGCTGAGTGTGTCGCAACATGCTGAAGTCAGAGTTCAATTGGACCTGTTTATAGGCCAGACTCGAACCATCTCAATTATCTGCTCTGGAGATAATGACCCCCTCTCCCCTCATCCAAAAGCCCTTATCAGTTTTACGCAAAAAAATTAAAATGTTTTATACTCTCTTGACCCTCGTCCAGCCAGCTTCACCATGGCAACAGGCTCTCTCACTGCCCACAGCGGTTATGGCAGCTCTGGCCTTTTGTCTCGATCCACTTCTTGCTCTGAAACAAACATGGTTCATCACAGAAGCGCTGAACAAAAGCCTGGGAAGTGTTTACATGTTGTCTCCTCGCAGTTACACAACGATAAGTTTAGCACTAGAACGCCCAGAGCAGTCAATTTGACGGCTTTTAGTTTTGGAACTGTAATTGCTTTGCGTATGTACATTCTTGGTCTTTTTTCTTTATCTATACATGGGCTTTATTTCTATGTCATTTATTTTATGTTTTTTATTTTTTATATGAGTTCTCCCATTAACTTGCTAGTTACCATAGCAACACACCATTTACTTGCAGCAGTTAGCATTTAGCCTATGAACAAACTGTTTTTGCTGTATTTGAAGTTATACTAACCAGTTAAGCCCTTAGTAAAAGGTAAGTAAATGTACATAATAAAAATAAAAAAAACATATAAATGACTGACGTGGATAATTAGATAATAAAATAAATAATACAATATGATAATAATAATAATAATAATAATAATAATACATTAAATGATTCAATATTTTGGGGAAAATGTATCAAAATGTCATTACTTTGAAAAGGAGCAGTAAAAATGACGGTTCTGGGAGTTCTAGAAGTTTCTGAATTCTGTGAGTCCTAGTGTAAAACTCACAGAATCATTTTGCTTTTGACGTTTCAAGACAAGTTGGATGTTTGAATGTAATTGGACCATGCTATCAGTGTTGTCAGAATGAGTCTGGAGATGATTCATAGACTGAACCACAGAACAGCAGACCTTTGTATTTCTACCTGTGACACAAATCTAGAGAAATCTGAACTTAATTATAGTCAGTTTTGCCTGTTTTCTTTAAAGGGACAATATAATTAAATTGCAAAAACCCTCGTAGACCACAGACCTCTGGTCAGAATGATCTGGATCACCTCAAAAATGCAATTATCCGTTCCTTGTCTCACTCCGGAGAGTTGCGGGAAAAGTCATTAAAATCTTTGAATGATTTAAAGGACATGAGTTTAATGAGTTATTTTGCCAACTAACGAAGAAGCCGACAGAACACCCTGCTGATTACATTTGTAAAAACACCATTTGACATTGAGACTTGAAAAAAAAAAAGTGTTAATTCCAACTTCTGCATAAGCACATCATTTTCCGTCTCACAAACACAACATCTCTTTGCGACCACATATATATTCCAGCAGCTCGGAGCCAGGCTTTCATGTTTTCCACTTTATATTTCAATTACCGACGCGCCTACTAAAAATTTCAATTTCTATTTTCATACAGCTGCGGGCTATTTCCTCACAGATCACGGGGATCGCTCATGAAAATGTATGGCGATTTATGCTCAAGTCATCAACATCCTTTTTGGAGGACCGGAGAAGAGCTTGTTCAGTCCAAAACGCACATTTAAATGAGCGAGTTAAGGGCTGGGGGGGGTGCAGTAGTAAGTTAGTTTTATTACTCTCGACAGCGCAGGTGGGTGGAGACGGGCGGCTGTGTCAGAGGCCTGTGCGTTCGCTCTCGTTGAGGCATTTGCATAGTGATTAAGTCCGGGAGGCGTGACGAACCTGACTCAGCAGTTTCTCTAAAGATGTAACTGTCAGGGCGAGTGAATTAGTGAGCAGACATGACCTTGTACGGAGGAAAAATAGGCCTGTCAGAAGCTCCTCACTGGCACACGTGACGTTGAGTGGTCTCCTGTCAAGAAAAGTGTCAAGGGGCCCGTGTTTCTGCCAGCTGTGGTGCCTCTTGTGTGTTGACCCCCCTCCAGGTTCGTTGATTTGATTACTCCGCACAATCCTTGTTTCGTAACGGAGGTAAAAGATATAAAAAACACAGAGCTGAACATTTCTATAATGAAGGCTCTGGAACCTGTATCGTATTTTGTGGAATTTGTATTGTCTTTAATAATACAGAAACAGAAAGACTTTACAAAGATACTATTTCTGGTATATACACATTATTGCCGTGCTTTAACAGGGTGACAGTTCAGGAGTGTGACTACTACATTGCATATAGGTCACTTTTTGAGGATTTGGGGAGTGAGGATGAGGGTGGTCCTCTCTTTTTCATTTTTCTGTGGAAGAAATCTGACCTGAGGATGTGACAGAGACCAAACAATACATTCATGTGAAAACTAATTATAGAAGCAAACTCGGAGGGAGGAACTAGGTCGTTAGATGTATTTTATGACATAGTTATTTTTGTTGTGGTTTGAAAGTTGGGTACCTCAGCTTTAATACAGCAATCTTGTTTTTTAGGTTATCTTGGGTTCTCTCTCTGTAGCTGACTGATGGAGGAATTAATGTCGAGCAAGCAATGGACATGAAAAAAACACCAATGCCTGAAACCGTCAAATGCAATAGATAATTATTACTGTTATATTAGTCATAAGCATTGGGAGCTATTTAGTATGCAACCAATTTCATTCTTTAGATCTAGTAAATGTGCTATAGTTAACCAAATGTACTGTAGTTAACCAAACCCAATTGTGAGAGATGGTCTGCTTTGTTTTGTAGATCTTTTAGGCAAAAGTGTTGTACGACTTTAATGGACAGTAGACAGACCCTACACAGTCCAATCCAGTGCATTCCTCATAAATTGATACTACAAAGCTTGACTTTTACATTTAACCCGGTTCATTGTGTCATGTGGGGTGTCTATCGCCTGCAGTTCAAAAATACATTGGAAAGTGTCATGTGAGAGCTGGCTGCCTCTCCACATGACAGCTTTAACGTGGCCTGAAACGTGGCTCAAAGCAGCATTTTATTCCTGAGAATGTGAAAGACATGCAAAGCTATGTAAACACAATTGAACAACCATGTAATTTTAATCTCAGCGGTGAAGGCATTTTCATTCAACAAAATATGACTTTTAGACCATCTGTGTGTGTTTTGTACTGTATGCCAGAACCTGTACATAGATCAATAAGCCTCCTATATTTTTCCACAATTATCTCTGCTTCTTGAATTATCTCGAAACAATCCACTCTCCTTCATTATTAACTTGCTCTCATTTAGGAAAAATCTGTCCTGAAATCTCTATTTTTGGCTGTCTTTGTCGTCAGCAGCGAACGATGAAGATGCCCTTAAAATGTTTTTCACCACTCAGATAATTATTGCGCATTTCCGAGGCGATAATAAGAATTGCATTTAAAGTAGATGCGTTTTTCTGGCCGGAATATTTTTCTTTCCTTGTACCTGTCAGTGAGACGGAAAGCAGCTTTGTGTAATCTAAATATGGGAGCTAAGGCAGAAGCAGCGCCTTTACCTTGAACAACCTTACAGTTTGGATTGCGCTATGATGGATGCTAACGTCAGGAAAATATCAGTTTGAAAGTCTAAAAATATGGCGGAAAGTGAAATCGTTTGAACCGGATTGAGAGCCGAGACCTGGCAACAAACCAGTATGTTAAAATGAGTTTGTTAAATCAAAGCAGTTTTCTATTTTGATCCAAGAAGGTCAAATGAATTCGCGATCGTATCTCCGGCACTTTGTCCGTTTTCTCATTTGGAATTCTAAATGTTTTCGATAATGTGTTATTAATAATCTTTGGCGCAGTGTGTTTGATAAATGAGACGCTTTCCATTTAATATTTCCATGATGAAGGAGAGGAGGGCAGGGCGGCGGGAGATAAGCCGTGGATGAAGAATGTTATCTAGTAGCCGTTGGGCGGGGCCACTAACCTGAGGAGATTGGACACACAAGTTTATTGACAATATACAACTTTTTGTTTCATATGAATTGGATTTTCAACATTTATGAAGCCATTGTTTTTGTAATTATTGAAAAAACATGATTTTAGTGTTACCTAAGTTAGCGTATGCAGAAAAAGAACTGGCTGCCTATTTTCCAAATCAAATGTCTTTTACTGCCAACCCCCATTTTCAAAACCAACATTACAGGCTGTTCTCTCCGTAATTGTTATTTATCAACACAACACATTTGCATTTTGGCACGAATCACAAAAAAGGCTGTGATCTGTTGCTATTTTGTTTTTCATTCATAATCCCACTGAGATTACCTTTGTATCCGAGTAGTCCTGAAGGGAGGAGTCTCAGTGTTAGTGGTCGGAGAAACCGGAGCACCCAGAGGAAACTGTCACTCTAACTGTCAGGCTCTGTATCAACCAGAAGTTCAACCCGAGACCAGCAAATATAATGTTACATAGATATTAGCAGACCAAAGCACAATGTTTTTAAGTAACAATACATTATTTTGTGTGGACGGATACATGGCACTGCAAACTCTCCGTTATACTTGCTTCTTATTAAGCCAAAAGGTAAATATTTATACGTCTCTATTGTATTTTGCTTGTAAGTAGATAGTCATTGTTTGTTTATCGGAGCTCCTCATTCCGACCAATCTATAGCTAGTGATGCAACACTGACATTTCCCCCTCTGTTATACATATAAAGGATCACTTCTTAGGGGTGTCCAAACTTTTTACTAAGGACCAATTTTGTTCATAAAGCAGCAGAAGGCCACATAGAATTACACAGAGGGCCGCAATTGGCTCGCGGGCCTGAGTTTGGACATGCCTGCCTTAATCATTGCTATTTCTGACTTTTGCCTTGTAAAATGCGTTTTTTTACTCCCTCACAAACAGCCAGAGAATTAAGCTTCGAAGGCTTTACCGAAATAAACCTCGAAATGGTACATAATTCAAAAACATAGCAATCTCTTTTCAAAGCTGGGTTATCGTACAACCTTCCTCATATCTCTTATTCATCTTGCATTTGTGTGATTACAGATGTTTTGTTACCTGAAAAAAAACAACAAAAAAACGGAGGCAGCACTTACAATTTCCCATTTCTCCTTTTGGCTTTTTGGATTTTCCACTACACGACTTTGCAATCCTCCCGTTAGGGGCTTAAGAGCGCTGTGCAAAGGAGTGAGAAAACAGCAAAAGCATGAATTATACGTGACGCTGGCTGCTCCGACATGCACGGGCTATGGGGCATCTTATCAGCCACCCCTGCTCCTCCACACTTATCGCACACTGCAAGACTTGTGCAAGCTGATCTTAAAAATCTATATTTGTTAGAGAAAAGAGTGTGTTTTTTGGGGGGGGGGAAGTTTTGCTTGCAATGAAAGAGCCTGAGGTGCTTATTCAAATCCCAGAAGTGTCATAGAGTACCTTAATAATAATATGTCATTATTCATTCGCTCCATACACAGTAGTGATAAACTACTACTTTAGCCACAGCTGCCCTGGGGCACACTGACAGAAGTGAAGCAACCAATCTGTACCGGTGGCCCCTCCGACTACCACCAACCATTCACACACACCAGACTCATTCTAGGCAATGGGGGTGAAGTGTCTTGCCTAAAGACATAACGGCAGTTTGGCACTTTACAGCAGCAGCCGCCCCACTGTGGCACCTGCTGTTCCCAGAGTTTAAGTGTCTTGCCCAAGGACACAATGACAGCAGACATCAGTGAGAGTCGGTGGAGATATATTTGGCCTTTGAACTTTAGGCTCAAAGGCCAAGGCTCTACTAACTGTGCCACTGTCACCCCAGATACTCACCTTATACTCACTTTTTTCTTCCAAACTGAAAAAAATAGCAATGACTACTTCATAATTACCACACTATACAGCCTTAAACTCGGGGCTGGCGCTCTGTGAACTGCACCGTGCAGGTCTGACTGCCACCCCCAGACCCAGAAATGGATTAAGGGGAAGAAAAATGAACAGATGGACAGCCTTAAACTTGAGTAAAGACTAAGTTTGCAAAGAATTAGGCTCATTCACAATTGCAAACTACTATACAAGCCCTCTATCTGGCTTGTTGTTGTTTGAAATATGGCTCTCCTTTCCACAGATATGACCAGTAACATAGCCTAGTCAGGTAAAGCAGACCCTCTACCAAGAAATGTACATTATTAAGCTTTAATATGGATGTTGGGTTACAAGATTGAGGCTTTTCCATCCCTAGAAGAGCAGCCAATTGCCCAAAGTTAGTTGTTCATTATTGATTATGTATTATTTGGGTTAATACAGTAGATGTTGTATTGCTTTTAATGTTCCAAAGAGTTTTCCTACTAAAAAGCTAGATTCAGATTCTGTTTGGAAAAGGAGTTGGGAAAATTAGCAGCTAGCCTTGGCACCAAACGTAAGTAATAAATGTACAGTGTGATATGATGATTACTAAATTACGACTAAGATTGTGTCATTGTATCTTCAGTGAGTCCAGTCATGGCTTTTGAGTTGTCATAGCAAAAAACTAAAAATTGGGTAAATGTGGTTGATTTATTCACATGCAGATTATGAGGTTGTGCGTTTGTGGTTGTTGTGGTAATGTCATGGCTGCAGTGTGCGTGCTTGTGCATCAAACAGATCACACCAATCCTGTGCAGAGGTCCGATCTCGGCTCTTAAAGGTCAAACAGTGCAGTTGATATTTTTGAAAGATTTGGGTCCCTTCTTATTTATAGCCTGCTCCACTTCTCCTCTTGTGTGCTTGGTTCCAGTCCAGCCCCACATCATCCAGCTGAAGAACGTGACGGCGGTGGAGGGCAGCGCCGCCATGATCTCGTGCCTGGCCGAGGGAGAGCCGCTGCCCGAAGTGTCCTGGAGGAGAGCCAGCGACGGACAGACCTTCATGGACGGCCTCAGGGTATGCATAATCCACGTTCGTAGTTGCGCGATTTCTGCCTAAGTTTCCTCCATGTGCTCCGGTTTCTCTGAAGTGTTAACACATGTGGAAAAAAGCGTTGTTTAAATCTCAGTGGGACTTTGCTGGGTGAATGATTAAAGTATGTGAGATTTTCAAAACTAGGGCAGTAATATACATGTTGGATATATCTGAATTAGCAAACTGGATTTATCTTGCAAACTTCACAAACTAGGGATAAGAGTTTAGACCTTTAAATATTCAGTGACTTCAAAATCCTGATTCTGTAGCACTTTTCTCAAGTGCCTCAAATGTGAACTGATACACAAAACTATTAATACATTCATCATAAATCTAAATGGATTCACCCACAATCAATCTGCTGCTGTGTCCTTATGCAACACACTTAATGATAAAGATAATAATTCATTTTATTTCATGACGCTTTTCAAGACACCCAAGGACGCCTTCCAATATATTAAAAAAACATCACACACAATATTAAAAGTACAGAATATGAAACATTATAAAATTACAGGTAGGTTTTGAGATGTGATTTGAAAATGTCCATAGAGTAGCTGTCGCAGGTCGAGCGGTAGAGTGCTCCAGACTTTAGGGGCAGAGGCGCAATTCTCTGGTCTCCATCGTGGCCATTTTGACGGGACTTTGGGGACCGTGAGGAGAGCAGCAGACGAGGAGCGGAGAGAGCGGAGTGAGCGAGACGAGGTGGACTTGACCCACCTTGTCTGCATGTGCAAGTGATTATGTGAGAGAAGGATGGATGATTGGGGCGACAGTGGCTCTGTCGGTAGAGCATTGGCCTTCGAGCCTGAAGGTTGTGGGGTCGAGATCACCACGAGACCTTCTCCACCGACTCCCACCGATGTCTGCTGTTGTTGTGTCCTTGTGCAAGACACTTAACCCCACATCAGGAGGATCAGTGAAGGGCCGGTGCTCTGTGAATTGGGTGCATGGATGGCTGGATGTTTGGATGGACAGATAGAATGGTGATTCTCAAAACTTTTGCCCAAAAAGTACCCTCAATATTAGCAACAAAACAGGCACAATTTAACAAAAATCTTATTTGTACAATTACAATACAGTTTATACAATTATGTGTGTGTTCCAAGAATGTATTGATTTATTCACAAAAGTATCTCCTGTTTGGGTTTTTCAAAGGTTGTTTTAAGACACTTTTATTCTCTATCTTTGAACGCCACTATTTTTTTTGCGTTGTGGAGGAATTCAATAGTATTTGATTCTAATTTGAGATGTTATAAAGTTCTTTGTTCCCTGAATAGGCCTATGATTTATATTTCAATTCCAGCATATAGCAGGAGCCCTTCAGATGTCCCAAATGCCATTACAGCTGAAAGGACAAAAGTTGTACTTGCCAAATACCAAGTCTAAATTGAACTTTGAAAAGCGGCTGTGTTTTTGCAGTCTGGTGTCATGGCTGTCACTAATGAGTATTTCAGAGGCTTTAATAACACTGCAGCGTCCTCAGATAACCCCACCGCACTCCAAACGCAGTCAGGGAGAAAAATGGCTATTGTCTATTGAAATGCACTCTAAAACATGGACTTCTCAGGAATGACTTTGCTGAAGTTGTTGAAAAATGAAAGTGCTGTTGACTTTTGGTGCCCACAGTTCTGTGACAGATGTTTTCCCATTAGTGCCCGCACCCCTCCCGCCCGCCCGCCCGAGTCCAGTGTGTCAGAAATCCAGCACCTTCTCCAAAGAACACAAGATATCGATCCACCTGCTTCCAAATAGTCACAACATGACACAAAATGAGGATGTGAGGCGGCCCCGTCAGGAAAATGGGTTGTTTCATTAATACAGATGACAGATTCTTTTGTATTTCTGTAATTCATTTGATGTTTTCTTTCTGTCAGGTAGCACAGATTGGTTATGCCAGCACCAAGTGTATTGATATTGATTATTTAAGGAAAACCCCTTGAGAGGCAGCATCTCATTTTTGAAAGAGTCCCATGAACATAAAACAAACACAATACATATAATACAGCACAATACAAGCAATTGACATTAATACATTTAACACACACAGGACAGGTTTGCTCCTTCAGATCCCACCCCAATAAGTATACAGTCAGTAAACATATACATTATTTTGTGTACAATAGTCAGATACAGGGCATACATACAGCAGCTAGTACAAAAATACAACGTAAAATGTACATACAGGTACTAGAAAATAAAAACAGCTAGTAACATGAACAGCGAGTGTTTATTATGTGTCTCCATTCTGTAACTTCATTCTCCCAGGTGGGAAGAAATGCCACGTCTTAAATATCATTCGTTCAGACCTGGACAGAAGGAGACACGGAAATGTGTTATGCCAATTTTTAGATATACAAATTATTGTTTTGATGCTCGAGCCTCGTCTTCGGTGCTGAGTAACAGGAAGTGTGGCTGATGTGAAGAGTTTTTTTGAGAAATGTAATATGGCCACAGAAACTCGCTGCTTCCCGAAATATGAATGCATTTTCTTAACACTGAGGCCAACTGGACCTACAGCTGAAACTCAGACAATTAGAATATCGTTCAAAAGTGTTTTCATTTCTCTAGTTTTCAATTTCAATTTCATCTTGTGTGTGAAACGAACCTATGATTTAGAGTCAAAACATTCAGAGTGACACATGGGGTTTTTACCAAGCTGTGAGTAAACGTTTAACAAATATAAGCTTGACATATCTCAGTTTCTGTGAGATAGAAGTCATGTATTACTTTCACAATGTTAAGTTATATTACAGAAGAAAATTGACTTTTGAACTACTGTATATTCTGATTAGAGTTTCGTTCGGGCCTGAAAAATGAAGCCCGACCCGGCCCGAGCCTGCTAATGTTAAGCCCGAGCCCGTATAAGCCCGACCAATGAACGCTGTATAACAGGCCCGAGCCCGACAGAACCCGACACATCTGATTTCCCGTTGTACGCACTCACCTTCCAATTGCAAGTTTAGTCTCCACTTTTTAATTTGTTTTGTCTCCACTTGATCCATTTCTACTATTGTTCCTGTTCGCTGTTGACCACAGCATGCAGCAGGAGACACGGGGATGATGCATTCACGGCTCGCTGCTGCTGTAGGACACGCTGGTTACGGTGTCATTAATATATTAACTTTTTTTAATAACTTGTTGTCAATCAACGGACATTGTTATTAATATATATATATATATATATATATATATAATTAAAAATATAATTTAAAATAATTATAAAAATAATAAAAAAGAAACATATATTTAAAAAAAGAAGCCCGAGCCCGGCACGAACCCGACAGCTGAGCGCCAAATGAGGCCCGAGCCCGGCCCGAACTCAGGTCGGGCCTCAGGCCTGCTCGGGCTCGGGCTGAAAAGCGAAACTCTAATTCTGATTCTCCAAGTTTCAGCCGGATAGCATTTGAAATAATAATAATAATAAAAATAAGTTATATATAGTTGCATACAGTCCATACCTATCATAAATCATAAATGGACTGTATAAATGAAGAAATACTACTGCATTTGACCCTTTCTTCCATGTGTAAGAAAGTGTAAGGCACAGATTAAGAAGCTAATGTTACTAAGAAGTGACTTGAAAAAACCTTTCCAATATCTTTCTAATTTCGTCACATGTAAGTGCTTTTCATTAGTGAATCATTCTTCAGTGGAATTACCGGTTGTCAGATGTTGGAGCAGAAATGATGAGAAAAATGTCATTGTACAGTTTTCTCGATGCGTTTGCTTAACTAACCTTTGTAATTACAGTGTAGGCGTCCTTAAATGTGACCCAAGATTCTGTTGTCTCTGCATTATCTGACCACGTTGACATCCCCCGTGTCGCCCCCTGTAATTCTATTTGCCGCCATGTCTGTGACTAATAAAAGAACGTGGCACATTAGCGGGTAATGACTTGTGTACGTCCCCATAAAATGAAAGCTGACGTAATAATTGCCTTCTGCCATACATTGTAATTAAACGCATTTATCGCAGAAAGCCCCGCTGCAGGGTCATTGGCAAAACACGTGCATTTCCTGCGCCGTTTTTGACAAATTGGTTTGGAGCATATGCAGCCTGTCGTAAACACAAATAGACATTACCTTCACCTTCGCTTTCAGACGGTCTTCGCCGCCGCCATTTTGTTAATTACTTTTGAATGAGTGTCAGATCTGGCAGAGAGCAAGAAATGGCTGTTGGTGCTTTAGCGAATTGGGGGGAAAAATATGTCACAGTTGGAGAAGAGAAAAGCATGTCATCTGTTCCAGGCAATATAATGCGCATGTGTGGTGTGTGAAATGCAGGCGGTTTAATTGTTTGTCATTTTATTGTCAGTAGTTTTTCTATTTATTATCTTCATCTGCTTGTGTGGTGTATCTCAGACTACAAAGCCCATCAAAGCATTACTAAAACTTGTATCGGTCTTGGGTTTTTTCAAGTTTTGTTCCTAGGTCAAACAGGTTCTTTTATGACTGGGGTTTGCATGTTCTTCCTGTTTTCTACATGTACAATAGTTAGCTGTTCACTTTCTTTTTCTTATTTACAATGTACTCAATTATAATCTCAATCGGCGAACGAGCACGATTCATTATAGCGCATAAAAACCAAAACAAAGATGGCCGCCGTGAGTGGAGACGTACTAGATAATAGGTCTTAAATAGGTCTGCACTCTTTTAAAAGTCTTGTGATCTAAATTAAGTCAAAGGAGGGAAAAGATGTGGAAAATGATCAAAATTCAAAAAATCAAATTAAAATGAACCTAAAATAACCACATAATGTAATTGAAAAGAAGTCTGTTCTTTCAATAGTTCTTGTTCCACAATTTGAGAAACTCCGTAGGTCTCAAACCTCTCTGACCAGGCTGAAGTGTTCTGGGAATGTCGAGATTCCCCTTGGAGGAGCTGGAGGAAGCGCTACCCGGATAATGTGGGACAAAAATAAAAGAAAGTTGGAAGATTGGATAAATAGCGCTTTTTTGGATATCCTATAAAATACATAAA